GTGACAGCCACGTTTGACATTATGTTCCCCAGCTCTCCTACCTTTCCCACTGCCCCGGGTTCACCCCGAAAGGATGCAGCAAGTATTGTGGCATCAGACATAGGAAAACATCAGTATTCCTCCTCCACCCCACTCCACACACACATTATTTTCCCCACTGTGAAGCACGAGTCTTTCTAAAACCCACATCTGATCATGTCAGCACCTGCTCAGAGCCCTTCAATGGGCTCCCAGTGCCCTCATCATGGCTGTGGGGACACTGCCTGTCAAACCCGGGACTAGCCCTCCGACTGCATTTTTCTCCACAGCCCTTCTCCCTTTTATGTTGCAGCCACACTTACTTTTAGTTCTTTATACCTGTCATTTTCTCTCTCCCCTCTCTAGACCACTGCTGAACATCCTCCTTTTAAGCCTTTGCTCTGCAAGAGAAGGGGGAGTCCCTTCTCTAAGTCAGAACCTCTGTGAAGGCAGAGGCCACGCTTATTAGTTTATCACCCCATCTTCAGTACCCTGTACAGCACATGGTGGCAGGTAGCAGTGATGGGGGAAAGACTGTAACCTACTGGAGATGGTGGCAGAGGTTTGGTTTTCCCTCACACCTGACGTCACCCCACTGGCAGAGGGGCTATGGGACTTGCTGGGTACAGGACTGGCTTCCCAGCACCTGCCTCCTGGACCCTGCCTCATCCTGGAATGGCTTCCTTCAGAACAGAAAAAGGTGACCTCATACCTTCAAGGTACACCTGTATTAGGGGGTCCTGATACGTGTTTTTTAATGAGTGAATGACCTAAGAGAACCAAATACAAAGAACATCAATTTTGCAAATGGCATTAGCCAGCATTCATTAGTTCTTGTGATATGCCAAGCATGGTGCCAGATGTTTCACAGGCAGCAGTTCCAAGGTTAATATTTACAAGAACACTCTGAGCAGACAGAATTATTTCTATTTCATGGATGAAGAAAATGAGGCTTAGAGTGGCACGATTACTTGCCCACAGTCATGTAGTTAATAAGGAAGCTGAACTGGGACAAAACAGTGATAGTGACAGCTACTGTTGACTACGTCTTCCCTATAAGCCAATCTTTTACCAGTACTTGATATGAGTTCTCTGACTTAATGCCCCTAGCAACCCATTAAAATGGGTACTACCATTATACCTAAGTTAGAGATGAAGAAATGGAGATTCAGGAAATTTAAGGTTACTGCCTCGGATTACACAACTTGAAAGTAGGATTAACCTACTTTTTATAATAGGTACTCTATTACAGTGGTATCTGAACAAAGAAATTTACTTTCAAATATGAAATGTATCAGTATGTTAAGATTATAAGCTGATACTAGTAGCCAAGGTTAGCCTTTTTTTGCCTCTAAGAAAAAAAAGGCTGGTGTAAATATTTAAGATACTCAAATCACTTTAAGAAAAACATGAAATAGATCCTACAGTGAGTTTTAGATTTACTTGATAGAGAAATCAAGATTAATTGAAAGCCAGATGTTAATAAGCTACTCACCTGCATGTTACTCAAGAAAAGAAAAATGCAACAGTACACAACAATACTAGAAGATTTTTGTTTCCTATTGTCTTTAAAATAACTACTTAAATGTAATTCAGGATTTCATTCCTCCAGCCTGGCTTCTCACTCGTATACTAAAGGTGATGGTGCAGACAATAACTACTCAGAATATCATGACCTATTGTTCATGGCTTTCTGGGGTCTTGTCTTGCCCCTCCCCAGCACCAGGATTTGAACTCAGGCCTGCCTGATGTCCAGGCTTCTGCTTTTATCACCACACAAACCACTTATCCAAGCCACTGTACCAGCCACAAAGCCTTGTCCCTTCAATGTTAAGGTGTTTGAAAGCTGCTGGGTACTTGCACAAGGGAAGGCCACCACAAACTCTCTGGATTCCAAAAATAGTTATACCAGGCTCCGATTCCTTGCTGGTAACTCGTAGGAAAGTTCTCCAAGCTTTCATGGAGTCCAGTGGTTTAAAAGCAGGCTGGTAATCAGCTGGAAGATCCATAAGACAAACATTCACAGGGACCATCACAGACCTGTGCACTCAGAATTTCCAGGCCCAGGCTTATAAGTCTGACCCAAGAAGCTCCTCAAGGTTTCTTATGACCAGCCAAATGGAACTCCATTTTCCCCAAGCCCCTTATCTCTAGGAGAATCCTTCCCCAGGGCTCCCCACAAACTCCGAAGGAGGATGTTCCTTCGCCTGCTGGTGATTAAGAATAAGCGAGTTCAGGCCGGAGAATAGCAGGAGGATTTTCCATTTCTTTGGAGCAGTTTATCATTTATCGACCCTATTACATGTCAGGCCCTATTGCCTATTTGATTTAACCGAAACACATTTTCTTTTCAGACACCAGTTCGAAACTCACTCTTTTAACGTTAAACATAAGATGTCAATGATGATTATGATGATATCCATAGCCATTTAAGGGCACTTACTATGTGCTTTATATGGTGTATCTTTAATCTCAGCAATTCTATAAGGTACATTTTGTTCTCCCCAAAACCAAGGCTCAGAGAGGTTAAGTAACTGTCCAAATGTGTCCATCCAGCAAATGGCAGAACTAGGATTTGAATACGTATCATTTTAACACCAGAGCCCAAGTTCCTTCCATTCCTCACTAGCTTTGTCATCTTGGGTAAGTACTTGTTATCTCAATGCCTTCATTTCTCCACCTGTGCAAAGAAGGAAACAAAAGTGCCTAACTCATAAAGTTGCAGCTTAGATCATAAGAAGTAATTCACATAAAACTCCAAGCAGTAACAGTAGAAATTATAAATAGTAGCTTTTTATACCAGGGCTTCTCAAACATGTCTTGGAAAGCTCTCCTCTCTAAATGAAAGGCTGCAAATAATTTCAGTTTATGCTGCAAGCTATTTGTACCTCTCAGTGATTCTCAGTGCTCGTTAGCATGTTACAGACTGAGAGGTTCCACAGTAATGAATTCGTTTCACTCTACACCAAGCTAGAAGATCTATGTATATATGCATATTTAAATCACTTAATTTTCGCCTAATATTTTGGTGCTCCCAAGAAGGAAAGGAGACTTTCATGCCCGATTTGGAATGGAATTGCATTGGTAATCTCCCCCTCCACCAGCACTAAGGCCCTACTGGAAGAACATACCATTAAGAAGGCCTTGCTTTGATACTGGCTGCTAATCCCATGGCCCAGCTTGACATTGTCTCTTAGCAATGTCCTGTCCTTTTCCCCTTTCCATTCCTGTGCCTCGAAAAACACTTCCTCTCCTCTGGTTTCTCTCGAGCCTCTGGCTTTCATGGCCTCTTAAGCCTCGTTTACACAGACAGACACAGGAGCTGAAGGCCCGTGCACATATTTATCTTAATAGTACTGTGGGGTGGAACAGCCTGTTCTGGGAGCTGCTTTCCAACTGTCACATAAATCGGTCAGAAAAAAAGTCACTATTTTCACGAAAACAGTGCTGGAGTGCAGCGGCGAGTTTTGGCAACACATCAGCCCCTCGTCCTCCCCACCCCCATCCCCTTAGTGCGGTTTCTGTCGTGTCGCCCTCCGTCATGGGGAAGAGGATAAAGGATTTCACAGACACAGAGGACTTCCAACTCAGAGGGAGATCATCTAGTGAGAGATCACAGAAGAACTCCTAGTAAATACCTATGCCTGGGCTCTTGCCCCAGAGACTCTGGTGCCACGGTTTGGAGTTGGAGAAGATGAAAGAGTTTTAAAGTGTTCTAGGTGACTCTCCTGTGCAGTGGGGGCTAGACGCACCAATGTAGTCACAGCCCCGTGAGGTGTCAGGACCAGAGAATAGGAGAATTCTCTTAGATCCTGCAGGGGATCAGGGATACAGGCAAACCCTGTCGTCTCCCACGGTGTTGTGCTGTCACTGAGCTCTGAAGCAGAACAGCAGAAACAGTGGGGTTATTTGAGTTGTGTATCCAAATCACTTGGGGGAGCTCTTTTAAACTATCACCCACTATGCTCCATCTGTACCAAGTGAATCAGGATCTCTGGGTAGAACCCCAGCACACAGATTTTGCAAAAGCCATCAGTGGCAACTTACCAACACCAGCCTAATGGGAAGACCATCCATTTTGGAGTTAGAAAAATTGGGGTCAAATCTGGGGTCCAGCAAATATTAATTGTGGTTCCTTGGACAAGTTATGTGACCAAAGCCTCAGTTTCACCTGAAAAATATGACAGCACACTGTCACTCACTCTTCTGTTCTGTAATTCAAAAGTCCTTTCTCCTTGGTGCATGTGGCTGGGTTTGCAGATGAAACCAGTTCCCTACCCTTCCAGGCGAAGCTCTCCGGAGAACATCTGACACTTTTCCTTTGTGACACTAACCACAGTTCATTGATTGAGCAGTATGAGACTTTATACATGTTTTTTTGAATGAGTGAATACATAATAATGATTAAATATATGTGTGATGGATGACTTATTCTCAATGAAAGATGTTGAGCTGTCTTGTTCACTGTTGGATCAGCAATGCCTGGTGTGAGTCTAGCTCTCAACAAACTTTAGCTTAAGAAAAGTTGAACAAATAACCAATATGTATGAAGTACCTGGCACATAGTAAACATGCAGAAACATTAACTGTATAATAATTATTGTCAGGTACAGACACACCCAGTGTCTTGCCCAAAGACACATAGGAGAGCTGAGACTTGAACTCAGTCCTCCTGACTTCCAGTTTCATTTTTAATTCATTACGTCAATCTGCCTTCAATGTTTCATATTAGGGGGAGGGAATCTAGGAAACAGTGGCCCAGTAGAGCAAGCTGGAAACCCAGCTGGTTTTTGCATATTCCCAGCTTCTACTGGCACAATTCATGTGCACACACACATTTGTAGATGGTAATGTCTGCTGGCATGGGGCACTTTGGTCCTCTCTGGAAAATGTTTTGGATCATAAACTCCTTGATATTAGTAATTGCTTTGACTCTCACCACAGAACAGACCCATGGGAACTCTACTGTTTGCTCCTGACAGGTTTGTGTTGGTAACAAGTCCTGATCCCAGCGCCAGTCAAATCATACACATGATGGAGTCAAATACCTGGGATGACTTCTGGATTTTGTTACTGGCCTTCATGCTGTCTGTGATTCAGGGGAAGCTGGCAACTGGAGGGCCAAATAAAGAAGGTGGAATTCACATTATTGGCTGCTTATTCATGCCTTGCGGAAGGGAGTTCAGAATAACCTAGGGGTGGGTGTTTCTGGAAATGCCTAGATGATCCCTTGCCACTCTGTCTACACTAGTATGGAAGTCAAGAGCTTTTAAAATTTTTGTTTTAATAGGTTTCATTCAGTTATAAGTTACTATGCCCTGGATGCTATGCCAACTGCTTTACAGACATAATACCATTTAATTCTCTTGATTCTTAGGGCTCGAAATTATCATTGTCAGTATCTTACAGAGGAGAAAACTGAGGCGGAGAGTAATTTGCTAAAGGTCACAAACATCAGTACAAGCCAGGAACGGCTCTGGAGGCAGGCCAGACTGATGGTTCCAAGGCCTTAATTCATACAACGAATATTTATTGAGCACTGCTGTGTGCCATGCTGTTTTCTAGTTGCAAAAAAATATATATTACATACAAATGTCTATTCCCCCAGGGAACTTCAGTTCTTTCTGGAGGAGACAAACCATAGATAACAAATCTAAACACTAGATACATTACGGTAAAAACCAGGCAGGGACAAACGGATGCGGAGCAGTCTGGAGGTATGTGTGTGTGGCAGTGGGGCAGGGCCTGGGATACAGGTTTGCAACATTAGACGGTGATCGAGACAGGCCACATTTGAGGAGATAAGGAAAAACTTTGAAAAGGTCTAAATTTTATCTACTGTTTACAAAAAAAAAAGAAGAGAGAGATAAATTACACTGTGACATTCTGTCCCCCTAAAATAGACGGTGGATGAAGGAATGAATAGGCCTACTACCGATTAAGCGTCTGCTGTATGTCAGGTGCAGGGCTAAGTACATTAGCCACAATTTTTCACTTAATCTTCATATGATCCAATAAGAATGCCATCATCTCCACATTGCAGATGAGGATACTGAGACTCAGAGAGGATAAAAAATGAAACTGTTCAAAATCATTCAGTTAATAAGTGACGGGGCTGGGATCTTGACCCCCAAGCCCTTGCTCTTCTGACTAGTATAATGCTGAGGAGGAGCAAGGGGTGGCCGGGGTTTGAGCAGGCGGGTAAGCACTGAGCCCACCCACACTGTGGGTAAGCCACTCCGCGTCACAGCCGTTCTGAGGCCGGTGCTCCCCTGGGGGTGCTGGGTGCAGGTGTAGGTGGCATGGTTGACCTGTGGCCTTCTTTATATCACATCTACCATGTATATCCTCATGCTTTTTTTCCCATGTGCTTTTAAAATCTATTACTTCAGTATTAAAGCAGAGGAAGGTAAAGAAGCTTTCCTTTCCCAAAGAGCCATACCGTTTATAAATGTCAGAAAACGTGGTTTCTGGAAGCTCCTCAGGAGGGCTGTTCTTCCACTGGCACCCCAGGCACTAGCAGCCAAAGCTCAACCATCTTTCTAGGGTGCTTGTGAAAGAACCATTCTTGGAGTCGATGGCCTTTTCTTCTGGGCTTGGTATGTGGGGCTCTCACCAATTCCCCCCGTCCAGTCCACCCTCCTTCCCTCACATCGCAGCTTATTTCTCCCGCAGGGGTCAGGAGTTCAGCGTTCTAAGAGGGCTTTCCTTGCAGAATGCAAGTCTACCCAGCCGGCAGTGTATTCTGTCTCCTCCAGCTGCCTAAGGATGGCAGCACGGTCATGTCAAGCGACGTCCACGTGGGTGTCTGTGAGGGAAAGAGGCGGGTTTCCTGAGTGACTCTGGTCCCTCAATAGCAAATGTACCGAGACAGTGAGCCGTGAATGTGAAACGAACCTTGAAAGCACTCAAAGTTAGGAGCACCTGGGAGATACACTTTGGAGATTGTGAGGAAGAGGAAGGAGAGAAGAAGGATATTTGAATTCCTGCCTTCTGGGCAGCCCAGAGTTTCACAGCCTCAGTCCATCCTTTGAGCCTAAGCCAACCCAAAAGCATAAATTCTGTCCTTTGCACCCACTGTACATACATATTGAATATTTATATAAAACAATAACCACTGTATTTGCTACCCATTTCAATGTTTTGGAAGCACTGTTCATATGAACTGACTTGTTAAATCTTACTCAAGCAACAGAACAACTCAGCTAATGAGATGTGGTGATTTAAATATCTTTTTGCAAATGAGGAGACTAAGGCAACGAAAGTTCAATGACTTGCCAAGGTCAGCACTGGCAAATGATGGGAGTTTAACTCAAGCCCAGGTGCCCTGAGTTGCACCCTCACGTTTCTTCCCTGACAGGGAAAGGGTGTTTGGTATCATATTCATTCAGAACAAAAACACACTCTGTCTTTCTCTTCTTCCTGTGTCTCCGGTTGCTCGGGGTCTCTCCTCTCTCCTCTCTTTCTCTCCCTTTCCTTCCCTTCCCTCCCCTCTTTCTCTTTCTCTCCCTCAACTTGGACTTATGTTTACTCCAGGGTGAAATGTGCAGGAATGCTTCATTATAAGGTGATCTCACCTACAACGTGATGCTGTGACAGAGACCACATAAGGGACACTGCAATGAGACCTCAGTAAGTTACTCTGGAGCCCCCGGCTGGTGGCATGCCCTGCCTGCTCCCTCTCAACAGGCAGGGCTCTCACTGGAGCAGCATGTAGGATGGCCTCCCACGACAGTGTAGGCTCACCCATGGGGACAGATGGCCCAGGGCACACAAAATCAAGGTCGAACCCCTAGTCTTTCGGGGCTTCTCCTGGTGACGGCTTCACATTTATCACCCTTTCATTTATTTGCCTGTCTAATGTCCTTTCCCCCACTTGACTGTGCCATGTAACACATAAGGACTATAAGGACTGTGTCTGCCTTGTTAATCACTGTCTGCTCTGTTCATAGCACAGTGTCAGGCATGGGGTGATTTCTGACAAGTATGTGGGGCATAAATAAATGAAGGAAGGACTGATGGAATAGCAATAGCTTGATATGCTATTCTCCTCAGTAACACTTGCGTTTTGAAAGGGTATTCTAATCAAGGATGCACATTAACCTCGTTAGACTCTTCACACGGAGAGGGTTCCACATGGAGGTGCGTGCTGGAGGGAGCATGAAGAGGGGTGCAGCTTTCCAGAGTTTCTTAGATGGTACCCAGAAAATGCCACAGCATTAAATCAGTCTCACCACTCAAACCAAGAGTGACTGGTCCTCAAAGACCACAACTTTGAGGAAGCTGAGAAAAAAGGCAGTTGAGGTGTGATTTCATTCCCCCCAAACGTCCTCCTTTTGGGCCTCTGCTTACTGTATCCTCAGTGCAAGGCAAACCACCTGGAAAGCCAAGTTCTAGAACAATAAAAAATCTAAACCAACTGCTGGCCCTGCTGGGTCTCTCTGATATTAGAATTAAGTCACTTTTTTCATTTTATTCAAACCAAAGAAGCTTTCTGGCAGGGTGTCAGGTTTTAAGCAGAAATGTCAGTCAAGGGCTCACTGAAGCCGAGGTCTGAGCAAACTTGAATCAATTTATGCTTTGGGTAAAATTCATATGGAATTTAGTGGTTTGATGGGTCTATTTGTTAAATGTTCCTCATTTTTCATTTCCTGGACTAAAACTCTACAAAGAGCTGTATATAAAATCAACATCAGGGGCCAATTTGAAATCTTCTGCACAAAGTGAGGCTACATCTGTACATGAGTATAAGGCGCATACTAGAATGATTTTACTCCCCACTATGAGAGCAGAAAAGAATTTGAACATATTCTAAGCTCTAGCTCAAACCTTGATCTATGATCCAAAACTAACCCCATTAACAATAATAACCTTTATTTAACATTTAGTATGTATCAGGCTCTGCTATGCACCTTACATTATTACATTTGATTCCACAAAGTAGATTTTATTATTTGCTCTGTGTGACAGAAAATGATACAGAGGTTCAGACACATGCACCAGCTTGCCAGCCAGCAAAAACCAAGATCGAAAGCTAGAAAATTTGCTTCCACAACCCCTCCCCTTATCATTGGTCAGGGACTGGTTAGGTAATGAATCCAACATGCAGGAATTTAACAAGATCTCCACTGAAAATTTAGTTGGAGTTTCATACCCTGTACAGCAGCTTTCAGAAGCCCATTTTGGTGGCAAGGATAGGTAAGCTATATAGTAGAATTTGGTTTTATCCTTCCAGTTGCTGGTGTACGAGAAAGTATTAGGATAATACCTGGAAAACACAGTCTCCAAATGCTTTTGGTTTGTACCAGAACAAGGAACAGGTCAGGATTCTCTCTGACCCCTGAGAATTTGAAGGAATATTTAAATCACTTCTTTGCACTCTTAACATTTGGGTGGCGATACAACCAGGGATTACTGAGGAGTCCTAGAGCCATGAAGTTCAGAATAACAACAGGGCTGTAAGGAGATGCACCGATGGGGTCTGGCAGTCCTCATCTACCCACTAAACTATCGACAACTATACATTAGGTCTGCAACAGGCTTCAATCAAACCCTACTTAACCAACAAATATATGAAAAGATGCCAAATTCCAGTAACATGGATAGGAATGCAAATTAAATATTTTAAAAATATTATTTTGAGAAAAGTTCCTAAATTTGATAATATCAATCATAGTAATGGGGAGGGGATGCAGGTACTTTCTGAATAAAATATGGGCTGGAATGGCAGTTTAGAAAGCATTTTTTTTAAAATTAAAAATGTACATCACCTGTGAGCCAGAAATGCTCTTTTTGGTATCTACTATCAAGAAATATTTATACCTAGTCATAAGAATGTTCACAGCACCATCATTTGTATCCAAAGTGAAAACATGACTGAAAGGTAATACATCCATACCATGGACTGTTATATAGCTCATAAAAAAGTAGATTTCTATTTACTGACAATAAAAAATGTGTAAGACATACTATTAATTTAAAAAATCCACACAGCATGGTATCATCCAGTGATATTACCGCACACACACACACACACACAAAACCAGTGTAGAGAAGAAAAATAATAGAAAAATCCACACCAAACTCAAAGATTAGATTACTTCTGGGGAAACTCAAGCAACAGGGAGCAATGGTCATGGGTACCATCTATCATTCATCCACTCAACAAATATCACCCAGCACCTTCTATTCCAAGCACTGATGCTGCTTTGCAATAAAAAAAACACACACAAAGATCTATACAACCACGACACCTACATTCCAGCATTATTGTTTTGTTGGGCATGTTTATAGGACAATAATGTATTTATACATCATTTACATAGTCCAAAAAAGTAAAAGTAAATTAAGAAACTATTTTTATGTTAATAAAATATCAAGCGACTCTTTATTTTGGCTTTTGATATTCCTTGCAAGGAGCCCTACTGGTGACTGCCATGTGGCTACTTCAGTGCCTCAAATGGTCTCCTTTGGATGACTGGCACACGCAGAGGTGCAGTGACAATCTCTCATAGCACAAAGACTTTCACAAAGTTGGCTCAATCCTTCTATTAACATTTTTTTGAGCATCATTAGATGCAAAGTATGAGTAAAGCCATATCTGATTATACATGTATTCACCAAAAAGACATGTATTAAGAATGGTCTTAGCAGCACTATTCATAACAGCCAACAACTGGAAGCTGCTGAGGTGCCAGTCAAATGCTGGAAAGATAAACAATGCACTATATTCACACAAAGGAATACTACACAACAATGGAAATCAATGCCATTAAACCATATGCAAAAATGTGAATGAGTTTCACCAGTATAATTGAATGGAGGAGCCTGGTACAAGAGTGACATGCTACATAATTCCATTTATATGACATTTAATAATCGGGGAAACCTAGACATCATCCTAGAAGTCAGGACAGTGGTTACCCCTGTGAGGCGGCAGCAGCTCAGGCACATTATGGAGGCTTCCGGCTGTGCTGGAGACATTCAGCTTCCTGCTCCGGGTGCTGGTTTTACGGCTATGCTGAATTTATGAAAAGTTGTTGAGTTTTTCAGTTATGATTTGTGACTTCTATAAGTACATTCTATTCCCATCGATACTTTCCAAAAACAAAACAAAACAAAATTAAAACATAAAGACTCTAATATCCAATCTGTGTTTTTCGAATCTCCTCTTTGGCCTTCCCTGGGCCTCCGTTTGAATATTTGTTGACATGGAAGAGGGATTTGCCCGCTGATCTGCGAGGCCCTCCCAGCTGCATGGTTCTGTGTACTACCTCTTCCACTCCAACAATCCATTTCTGAAGCAATGAAAAAAAATTGAATGAGCCTTGGGTCATTTGCTATTTGAGTTTGTAAAAGGCTTATTGTATCCCATGTCCTATTTTCAAGGCATTTGTTGTAAATTAAAGACACAATCAGTGAACAAAGGAAATTCTGTCTTCCAGGAAAATGCACATACCTAATTCTTCTCCAAAGTGCTTATGGGATAAGTGGGAATACTCCAAATGCTGTTTCTGCCAAGCCTCTTCCTGTCATGCCAATTCATATACCCTACAATGGGAGAGTCAGCAATTACAGAGGTGGGGCTGTTCCTGGTAGGAAGGAGGCAGGTACTGTGCTCATGACCTACCATTTGAATAGGCACTTCCTCTACAACGGGAGTTGGTTCGTAATTTTCCTCTTACTGCTACTGGAAGTCCTTGAATGGCAACATCACAGCTTGTACCCATTCACAACAGGAAAGTTTGATATCCGCAGACAATCTTGGCAAGAGAGGAGGAAAAGTCTAATCCTGTGTGTCAGCTTCCATATTAGAACTGGGAATATAATGTCTATAGTGTAAGACCATGCTGTAATCTTTACACAAGATCTTGGGTCCCAAGCAGGGAACCCTTTCCTAGTTACATCCAAACTTCACTGACATTTCCAAGGCAGGGACCCCAGGGAAGCCAATACTTTAAGGCCCCAAACAGGTACACTGTGTGAACCCTAATCCTAAGGAAAGGTACTTTGAGAATGGATGACAACCTCTGATGAGTGAGCTCATTGCAGACCCATTATCCTGATTATGTAGGAGAGCTGGGCCTCATGTCAATGGTAGTTTTTCACCAGAATGCTGAATTTAGCAGCTGAAAATAGTCAAGCACAAAATCTGATAGGGGTCTTAGGTTATCTAGGTTCTTGAATGATCAGAAATGAACAACCAGTTTTGTGGTTTTATTTCATTTTGTTTGGTTATTTATTTTTAATCAGTCCCCAGTCAGCACTTTTCAAAAAATGTAATAAAAATGAATGACTAAAAATGAAATAGACAGGCAAATGCAGGCCCCAATTTTTTATTACTAGTTTCAAGAGACATTATTCTGCCAAGTGGCTATAAAAGTTCATAAATGCTTCTTCTTGATCTGGGTGCTGGTCAAATAGATGTGTTTTAGTTCACGAAAATGTGTTGAGCTACATGCAACATCTGCACATATGCACTGTGGATTGGTAATGATCTGATTTTTAGGAGCACAGCTCACTGGAAGCTTTCTCATTCTCTCAAGAGCACAATTCTCTGGGAATAGAGTTAACACAATGCCCAAAATAAGGAAAAGGACCATGGGACAAGATATGTTGATGAGGACAGAAACTCAAGATTTCTCTCAGATACAAAGGTTTTAGCGATGAAGCAAGTTTTGGTGATGATGGGAGGAACCTACTATTTTTATAAGAGAACCAAGGAAATTCAAATAAATAACCAGATTAAGCATGCAGAAAGCACAAAGATTTTGGTCTATTGTGTTCAACCAATCCAGATGGTAATCAACAAGTATGCACCTTATGAGGTATTACAGCTCTCATTCCGGTCAACCTGGGGACAACAGATAGGTAAGGTGTCACTTCTTTCCACTAACTTCCTACTCACAAATTGCAGATGGAAAACCAATTTTTACAAAATCAACTTTCTTGTTTCACCAAGTACCAAATATAAAAGCTCATGTCAATATAATCACAGTTAATGATTCTTGAAACCACATTTAGGATGAGGGACAATTACAACAAAATATTAGGAAAATAAGTTGTAAAACAATTTACATAAAGTCACAGGAACAATTCCTCAGGGAAGCAAGCCAACCATTCTTGTATTGTTTCGGTATTTTGGAAAAGACACCAATTAAGTAGGTAAGACAAAAGACTCAAATTCTACAAGCATTTTAGTTTCCAGTCCAAGACAGCTGTTGGGTGATATCATCTATTGTAAGAATAGCCATGCGTGGAGAGAATTAGCAGATGAAAAGCAAGCAAACTCAATATGGGGTGTATAAACGTGCTTCCTCAGTCTTTTTCAATTTTCCTTACAGATAGACACACCTAAAAGTGAAGTTACATATGTGGATGTTTATATGAAGTATAAAGGACACAAGAAAGAGTCCGAGACATGAAAAACGGTGGAGGAAGATAAACATTTCAAGAGTCAGATCATGTTGCTGCTCCAATTCAGAGTCTCTAAGGAAATAGCTAGAAGGCTATTGAACTCCTAGCTTCCTCCCAAGGACTAAAGAGTTTGCTACAAGCATAGGAAGTGCCAAGAAAATACCAATTTGTGTCACACTAACATCTTTCTTAAGGCTGAATGTGGACTTCAGAAATGTAAACTTTGGGTTACAGTGAGCACAGACAGCCTTGAGGGCTTGATATTAGGTTCTTCAGGAGAATTGAGGGAAACCCAATAGGAGATCAAATTAGACACCCGCTAATTAGAAATGTAATGACACCAGAGTTTTACTTGCAATGAGTGGTGGGGTCAACTTTTCCCTGGCACCTGAGGTGAATGCAGAAAAATAGAATCCCCAAAACCATGTTTGGAAATTATCTCCCTGGAGACAGACAGAGACAGCAACTGCTGGAGGGAGGAAGAAAGGACAGCAGGCAAATCGAAGTGGGATTCTGTAAAGAAGACCTGTGGGAACAAATGGAATGAGAAAGGCCTAACTTTCCTGCCTCAGGCAAAACAACCTTTGAAGGCTACCTTCCTCCTCACTGGTGGAGTTCCATTGCTTAGGATAATCAGCAAATGCCTTATACATATTTAAAACTTTCCTTTCTGGGTTTATCATTTCCACCGAGGCAGCTTCCTGCAAACTTAAGTAATGAATGTAAAATGATACTCCTCTGGGAGGTAGTAAAGACAATCTAAGAACAAGTCATTTCAGAGTCACAAACTTCACCCGCCGGAGATCATTTCCATTGCATAATGTGCTTACCCTTGAAACATTCATTGTTTCCCTCTTACCCAGTTGTGTCATTATTTTACTTACCTCATCAGGGGAAATCATTGTTTAAAAACTGAATATAAACGGTGGAATCGTTTTCTACTTATCTTTTACAGGGTAACAGCTTCCCTCCCAACTTCCCGCCACAGAAGGGTTAGCCCCATGTGGGTGATGAATTGCGCCAAAGAGTCTGATAGTCCCAAAGAGGAATGTGAGTAAAAATAACTAGCTGATTACCAATAGGGAACAAATTGACCACTTGAGAATTCAGTGGCTAGAATGACAAATGAGAATATGGAAAGTCTCCTCAAGAGACTACAGTTTCTGATTAGTCCAAGGACGATGGCCACTTGCCGTGCCTCTTCACTCTCCCTGCTGTGTGATGATTTACATCTGATTGGACATCGTTTTGTATTTGGGGTAGTCATTTCTGAAAGGGTGGTTGGAAGACTTTGAAGTACTTAATTATAACCAGGAGGCATTTGGGGGCTGAGCAGTGAAATGGAAGATGCTGTGTCTTAGACTGTGGAATACCCATGTCTGCTTGGTTTGGTCTGGTTCTTCATTCCATCACCCCATAAGGCGGCCTTCCAAAGTTTTTTGGACTCCGGAAGAAAATAAAAATGTTCTTTGCCAAGCGAACCACATTCAAGGCAAATTTAGGGATTTCAATATGTGGCTAGACTGGGCTTTCTGTTAATAGTCAACTACCAAAAATAGAAATAATTTGGGAGTCCTTTGAAGAGAGGCCATTTTTCTTAGCCCTCACTCTAACAATCTGTCAAGTGAGTGAGGGGTATATAATGAACTGTAGACATGCTGGCTGTCCTCAGAAAGCTCAAATAGACCAGCAGTGCTAAATCATATATGTATGAAGAGATAAAACAGGACTGTCAACCATTAGCCCCCAATGGGCATAGCCGCATGGGTAAGAATTAAGAGGAGAAATAGAGGTATTTTAAGTTATGTAATCAGGATAGGTTTCAGGGAGGATGATATAACCAGGCTTTGAAGGATAGACAGAATTATAGCAAATTTTGGGGGGAGAACTGCTTTAATGAACAATAGTACTATCTGGATTTTTTTTTTTTTTTATGATTTGGTGCTTAGTGAGTAGAGTGGTTTGTCTTGTCAAAGGGGTCTGGGAAGATGAGTCTGGACATAAGTTTCCTATGAATGAATGGGCCTTTAACACCAGGCAGGGAATTAGGTTTGGTCTTAAGAGCAATGGACGAATATTAAGATTCTGAGTAGAGTTAGAACTATTTTAGAAGTTTGTTATCTGTATTGGATGAAAAAGAAAAGGCAAAACAATGTTCTCTGGAACTTCACCAACAGTTAAAAGCAACAGATGAGACTACCAATATGATTCTTTGGCTTTGACACCTGTGCTATGGAAGAGAAGAATGAGTAACACAGTGCCAGGCACACAGGTGACTCAATGAACATTGCCGAATGGGTGAATGAAGCTGTAGTTATTTAGAGCCAGAGTTCTATTATTTGCAACAATAACAGCAAATAACTCTTATTGCTGAGCTTGCGAGGTTAACGCAGCCCTCTCAAGAGGCAGCAATGAATAATTTGAGGAGAAGATTAGGAGTTACGTGAATTTAGGATTTAATATCACCTTCTTAGGTCTGTATTTCCTCACCTGAAAAGATAAGGGTATGTTTTATGTCTGAGCTCTAACTGTAGGAAGTTTGTATGTGTGTTTTTTGGGAAGAAGCCATACTTAGCTTGTGTCAGATGCACAGAGGAGTCCACATCCAAGACAAGGTTAAGGACCTGTGGATTATGTTCCTTTTTAACTATAAGAGGTTGTGATTCTGAGAGTCCAAGGATGACTTTACTCCCTGGATGGACAATCAGAGCATCTGACACCAGAGCTCTGCCAATTTTGTCACCTTGTAGGAGGCACATGGCTGATTGGTTTGATTGAAAGGAGGAAAGGATTTTACTCCTAATTGTCAACCCAGTCTCATATTCCCCAGCAATTTAAGGATCATTATTGATATGGCCAGTCATGCTGGGTTGTAACTGAACATCAAGAGAAGAACCAGTGAAAGGCCCTTGCTTCCATCAGAACACGACATTGGCAACATGTAACCACAGATACAGTTCTTTTTTGTAGAATTTTTTTTTCTATTTCTACTTCCTTTCTTTATATGTACTCTGTCATTAGGTCATTGGAAAGAAAAACTAGTTAATGATGGGGAAAGGCACTTGGGAAGATGAAATACTTTCACTCTTAAGGCTATTGTTCAAAAACAATATGCAGTAATATTTTTGTTGAACAGACACATTCAGTAGTTGCTTGGATTTGGGTACTTGTCAATAATGATAGGATGCTGACCAGCTGAAATATGAGCAGTTAAAGAGAAGTTATCATTTCCCAGAAGCTATTGTCAGTGTAAAACTCCAGAATGGAGAGCTAGTCCTGGCAATTTACAGTGAGGCAGGACTCTTAATGACTTTTGGCTTAATGTTTTAATGAACAGAGATCTGAGGTAATTATGTAATAAGGAAATCTCAAGAAAAGATTAAGCTCTAATCAAAATAAATTATTTTTAGATTCATTTTAATAAATTCAACCCTGTTTCCCTTTATTTATACCAAAAAGAAATTCATTGTGGTAACCTGATTCCTATCACTGAAAAAAAGAATGGGTTTTGTATTTTACTATAGTAAGTTGCAAATAGCAACTTAGAGGAAACCATATACAAGCAAGACTAGCTATTCTTGGTAAGAAAAAATTTGCCTATAAATGTCAGTAAATTTATTTTCTCTTTTTGACTGGGCACCTGTCAGGTTTAACTGAAGAGCTGATTAGGACCATTAAAAAAACTAAAATGGCAATGTTATGAAAAATGACAGTGAAATTTATTATAATTTAATTTTCTTTCTGTTCTTCCTCCCTCTCAATTTCTTCTACTCTAAATAGTAACAATGCTCCTTACTCTTCATTAAGCAACCTAAACTGAGAGAAGACACTTTACTACAAGAAAATGCATTAAGAACTCTAGTTTACTTCACTTAAAGTACTTCACTTGTCAATGAGTCAAGAGCATTCTATTTAGTACCTAACTATTCTATACTTGTCCATATGTTAACATTTTCTCTCTTCAGCATTACAGTAGAAACTTCTGCTCCATCTGTAATTTTCTTTCTTCCCTGACAACATTATTTGTGACAACAATGAAAAAAAGTACCTAGCACTACCAAAATCTCTGTCTTCCCCTGAGCACAGTAATGTATTTCCAATTGCCTGTGAATGAAACCTATGGGTTAACTCTGGAGCCCAGCGTAAAGCCATAACCTACTGTAGATTATAAGTAACAAAATGTTTAGTTTAATCTCCCAGGGTTTCAGCAATAGGAAGTACCCAATATAAACTTCTTAAGTGGAAATATGTCCCAAATTATAGTCATTCTGCATTTTAAAGTTGTATGGGACTCTATCGTATATCCCCAGTGGGGGTCCTGTGGTTTCCCAAACTCTAATCTTCTCCCTTATCATTGCTTATGTTCTGAGAAGAGTTGGCTCAATGTATATTTATTGTGATATTGATTTGTTATTCTAAAAATGATTACTGCATATAATGGATGTTTTTAACATACTGAACTGATTCTACTAGTAGAATCTAGGGTAAAACCGGGGTCAGATTCTCATCATGGCAACCAGCAATAGGGACAATGTGGAGACAGTTACAAAGGATAAAAACTAGGCTTATCTCCACTGAACTCTGACTTTTGGAAGATGAGATGATCTGACTGTAGATTTAACCCAAGTTAAAAACACAGAGCATGTATTAAATGCCTTTAACCATTTAGGTTATAGTATGTTTAAGAGTCAAAAAGCATATTTTCTGGGTCCTATGGAATCTCTGGCATTTTCATGTCAAGACTAATTGTACATTAGTTGCCTGGCAGATGTTAATGAATCCTGTATTATGGTTAGAATCACTGCTGGAAACTTTGGAATTTTTGTGGTGGCTCTTTTTAGGCATCTGAAACACACCATGATAATTCACTGAATTCTCCAGAAATGTTCCTTTCTACTTGTGGATGTAATTTCTCACTGCAGAGACGTTACGTCTTGAATGTTTCATGGTGACTTCAAGAGATTAGAGGTTAAATTCATTCCAATGGCCATGGTCTAATGGGCTTTTGAGATACAGGCTGAACTCTAAGGGATTTGGGGGCTCCTCATTCACTCCCCACAACTATACCTCCTTCCGAGTGTGGTTCTCTCCACTCTGCAACTAAGATCCAGGGAAGTTAACGATTCATCCACAAAGACACAACTAATATATGATCAACCCAAATTTGTTTCATTGATTTAAAATCTTGGAAACTTTCTATTAGGCTATACCCTAAGAATCTGCCTTGGAGGCTCTGCAAACAAGGAAAACACTTAGCTGTGAGTGGGAGAAGGAAAAGTGAGACAATGTATCTATATTGTTGCAGTTCATATGTGTCTGTGTTTTAGTTTCATCCCTGTTACTATGTTTCTCTAACAAGTCACTGTTTCACGTTTCTCATTTCCTCACTTTGGGGTGGGAAGACTGAATGCATTAGTTCAACGGCATGCATTCTTAGAGCTGTTGCTGAAGAATTCTAACGTGTGTCTTTACAGCATCATTTGTAAAAGTCTAAAAAAAGCATTCCATCTTGGGGGTCTCCTTTTCGAGATCCTTCCCCTCTCTTACTTGTAAATTTGAGAATTCCCAGAATTCACCCAACACCCTTTGTTCTTCTCCAGCACTGCTTTGTCCTTGAGTGGTCTCACACTTTCCTAGCTCATTTTAAAGTCTGTTTTGTCTGGTATTCATATCGCCACATCACATCACTTATGGTTGATATTTGCATGGTACATCTTTTTCCATCCATTTGCTTCCAAACTATTTTATCTTTGAATCTAAATTGTTGCCTGTAGACAGTATAGAGTTGGACCATGTTCTTTTTTTAATATGATCTGATAATCTCTGCCTTTTGATTAGACTGTGTCATCATCCATATTAAGTGGTATTATTTGATATGGCTGAATTTATATTTGCCGCTGTGCTTTTGGTTTTCTATGTCTTAAAGCTCTTTGTTCCTCTTTAACTGCCTTTCTTTGTATTTAATAGGTATTTCCTAGTGTAACATTTAAATTTCATTAGTGACTTTTTATTTTATCTTTAAAAAAATTCCTAGTGGTTATTCAACTTAA